GCTTAGCGCGGATATCACGCTTAGCGCAGTTTAGGGTGGTTTGATGTGTAAAATAAAGAAGTCGCGCTTAGCGCGCAAGGTCCGCTTAGCCGGTCTGCTGATATTTGTTTTATAACTTCATTTCATTCATTTGTTAGGTTATGGTTTTGGGGAAGTTTTTGCTCCCAACTCCATCAACCTCCAATTTTGTTAGGATTAGCATAGATAACAACTATGGAGCTTGCATACGGATGATTCAGGGTGGATTGATCTTCGATCGATACTGACAAACCGATAGATTTGTGATTTATTTCTCTTTTTCTTTGTGTATTCCCTATTGGTTGAATTTTACATGTATTTTCTTTGAACTCGTGTATATTTGTCGCCCTTGGCGTTATATAAGACTTGCTTTACAAATCTTTTTCAATTGTTATCCTTGATTTTTACTCCGTGCTAGAGATTTGAGTTGCTATAGACATATACTACTTGAATTCTTATCTAGGATGATTATTTAATAGTGTCTGAATTTTAGAGATAGATTTAGCACTGTTATACACTTATGGTGTCTGTGATTAATGTCTATGTGTTGTTTGTGTCGCTCTGAGAGATCGTCGACGCAAGCGAGCACAGTTGACTTCTGTGTTGTTAAGGTTGGTTGAAAGATCATCGCCGAGGTGTTACAATGAGTGTTGTATTTGACACGTGATGACATTAATGAATCTTGTAGGTTTAGTATAACAGATCGATAGGTTTAAGTCTGTGAGAAGTAGTATATATGCATGCTTGATAAGTTATTCCTTTTTCCTTTTTATAGATTTATTTTCTGTTGATACATTTCCTTTCAACCCATTATCCTCAAACTCATTAGCGAGAGATTTGTCGAACGACAATTCGATTCACCAATCTCTGTGGACACAATACGATATAACATAAATATCACCCGATAAAATTAATACTTTATTTTTTGTTTGCCGCTTTATCATAGCCAGTAGGTCCCTTCCCTCATCGGGTGGTTATATATATTTCTGCCATCCCATTAGGTTAGATATCAAACATAGTTATTCCATCAGAAAAGGGGCAGTTGCATTCTCAGTTTCCGCTCAACTAATGGATTCAATTATGACGAGCACATGTTTATATTGCAATATTCATACTATAATATGCCTTATAATTATATCTATGAAATTGTCTATACGGTTAATATTCTATCAATTGGTATGAGACCCAAATACGGTTAATATTCTATCAATTGGTATGAGACCCAAATAGATATATTGTATGGCTATTTGTATTTGTAATTATTTGTCTATGATTATGAAAATTGTATATGCCCTGTTATGTCTGTGTTATATGATTGTTATGTCTGTGTTATATGATTGATCCATTGTAACAACAAATAGGAATATTTTTTCCTTCCATAAAATCAAATCGACTGATCGTTTTTAGTAACAAATACAAACATAATTGTTTCCCATAAAATCAAATCGATTGATCGATTGTAATGACAAATATATTTTTTTATTCTATAAAATCAGATCGATTGATCGACAAATATCAACAATTTTTTTCATAATAAAATCGAATTGATTGTTTCAGAAATGATTTTAAATTTTTTTTAAAACGACTTGGATCCCTACGACTGTGCGAACAACAAACTAAAAATTGGAAGTTTTTCGTTCAATATTCATGAACAATCAACTTTTTAAGGACTTTAAACTATCGATTTGCAATTTTGGAGCACCGATTTTTGAAATTAACACATGGAATCATCCTATTTTTGAATAACGATTAAAATGGATATATAATTGTTGTCTTGTTTTGCAAAATCAAACCGGATCATGAAGCGGGTCAAGTGATCCAACTTTTCCCCAAAACGGATAAAGAGGATACTGCGCGTGAGAGATGATTAGTATAATATTTATATGCCAGCAATTCTATTTTTTTTAAAACTGTATTGGTATAATTTTTTACTCGTAACTGCACATGAAATAATATAATAATACAATATTATATCACATGCCAACAAATTTTATCTTTCTGTTTTTTTGGTTTCACCATTATCTTTATTATATAAATCAGTTTTATATTGACGGTGAATAACAAGAATTATTTAAAATATTTAATTTTGGTTTTAATTTCTTTTTAAATAATAAAATTGAGTGATCATAATACATTGATAATATAAAAATATATTAACGGTGAATAACAAGAATTATTTAAAATATTTAATTTTGATTTTAATTTATTTTTAAATAATAAAATTGAGTGATCATAATGCATTGATAATATAAAAAATATTTATAATAATGTATAGCAATTAAACTCATATTATATCACATGCCAGTAAATTTTATCTTTCTATTTTTTTTTCCGTTTCACCAGTATCCTTATTATATAAAGTTTCATAGTATGTGAGGCTCCCGACCAATGTGGTATCAAAGCCTCAACAGAAAAAAGGGATGCGTATGACATGAATATAATAAATAGAGTAAGTAAGGGAGAAAAATATTTAACCATGGCGCTATCACAACAAAACACTCATCCTATTACCACCACCTCTTCCATATCACTTCCTAAACTCTGTAAAAAGACTGATACCCATAAAATAGAAAACCTTGTCGAGTATTCTTATGTTCCAGAAGATGCTCAAATTTCCGAAACAGTACCTCCCCTTTTAAGCCCTTATAATATTTTCAAAAAACAAAGAACAATTACCAGATCCATCAGAAACCTAATCTCTACCAATCGCCCTCATATGAAAGAATACGTCCAGTCATCTCGACTAGACCAATATAGTTTGAGAGCTATAAACCAAGAGCAGTATGTGGATTTAGAGATTCCTCAGAGTCTCATAAATCACTGGAAATCTGAAGGATACACAACTTTACATTTTGGAGCAGTTAGACTCATCCTCTCTCTCCATGGAAGAAAAAATCAGCCTGTCTTCTGCAAAATAACTCTCCTAGATTCGAGCTATCTCCATTATGAAAATGCTGTCATAGGAACTGTTCTGACCTCACTTCATGCAGGAAGCGTTGTTCTTACTGTTTTTCCAAATTATAATGTAAGCCTCAACGACAGCACCCTATCTACAAGGCTAAAGGTCCAAGTTCAAATCACTGGATCTGACCAAGTTCCAGAGGCCATGTCTGCTACTCTCCATCACCAAATAATCTATCGCCTACAAAATCATTCGATAGATTTGCCTCTCACAGGATGTTCTTCTGATTCTCTACTAGTAGTTACTAATAGAGAAGAAGATATACTCTCTATTGTTCAGATTCCAAGAAAGATCACAAGGGAAGAACTAACTCAGTTAATTCCTCTTGAGTGGATAACAAACTATGAAAAAATCCATCAAGATAGAAGACAAATACAATCTCAAGAGGCCACCTTTAGAAGATCTGTTGACAAAACGGTCAAAACAATTTTCAAAAAACCAGATGAAGGATCGAGTTCAATTTCTCCTATTTTCCAGACCATGATGATCCGACCGATTCTCAAAGAAGATTGGTGCCTAATTCTTGTTGTAACTATTAAAGGAGAACCTATCTATACTGACAAGATAAATGGTCACTTTATTTGGGACGTAGATCCCAATAAATATGACCCAGGATGTGAATGTTGGATGCACGATAATGATTATGACCGAGATATTATCCTTCCGAAAAGAAAAAACAATGGGGCGTGCAAACCATCTCCTCCTCCACAAAGAAGATATGATCTTGATAACGGTCCATGGGTAGGTATCCATGATAAAAAGAAACCTCTTCCTATTTATGAGGAAGCTCTCAAGATCCTCAGGAAAGAAAAACTGTTGCCACCAAATGATCCTACTCTAGTTACGTGGTCACCGTCAGATTACTGCAAATTTTTGGACCCTCCAAAAAATGTTGAGTTAATCCCTTGCTTTATGTACTCAACTACTGCACCAGATTATAGCCAACAATTTCCTGCTCTAGAAAGAAGATGGATCCAATCACTGGAAGAACATCTAAACCCTTCATTCATCCTAATGAAGTACAACCCGATGGAAAACTCAAACCTTTAACTCAAGCTGAAGAAGTTCTAAATTGGCAATCAGAAAACATGATTTCTCAAAATGACATCCTCCAAAATCTCGACAAAAAAGTGGACAAGATTGCTGAGAGAATAGACGAGACAGATGATTATCTCAAGATTCTATCACAGAAAATGCAGAAGCATTACAGAAGCTTAAAGGCTCAAGTGTCTCAGTTGGATCGTGATTTGCAACAGATATTAGAAGAAAGAACTTTTGGCAAAACTTTTGACCCAAAGGAAATAGAAATCATAAACCTACAAGGACAAGTAAAAGAAATAGATGATTTCTTAAGAGCTTCACATGAAAGAAAGTCCAAGCCTGTTGAAAACCTTTTCCTTGACCCTCCTACTTTCCCTACATATTTCAAACGACCAGAAAGACCTTCTTCCCTACCTATGTTTCTTCACCACCAGATCAAGTCAAATACATACCTACAGCTTACAGACTAAAATCTACCAGAACTACCATTACCTAAACCTCCAAGACAAAAGGAAAGGCTGCCTGTTTAAGCGCTTCATCCTCAGAATCTCAGGATTTTCCTGAAACACCTCCTCCAAAATTTCAAAAGGAAGAAGAAATTCTTGATAAAGGTTTCCAAGCCATGGAAATCATTGGAAATTATGAATTTCCCCAGAAAAGTTACTCTCTTGCTGAATCATCGGCACAAAAAGAAGACGAGTCCTCCTCAGATGATGACAAAGACTCCTGTCAAGAAACGTCTAGTGATGAAACACCAAGATCCTTTTCATCAGAATCACAATCTGAAGTAAACTACATCCCAAGACTCTTCATGGCAAATATAAAAGAGGAAGATTCATTTTTTGAATAATCTCCTGAAGAAACTCTAGTCCCTGAAAGGACTAAACCAAATGGCGGTCTTTGGTTCACATTTGATGATATACCGCCTAGTCGTTAGAGAAAGAGACTACTCGAACTCGAAGCATGGCATGATACCCAGATGATGAAAACAAATGCAGATAACTATAAGGTCATTGAAGAATTTTGCTGTAGAATGACAGGCACGATGAAGGAATGGTATCACAATCTTGGGGCTTTCAAACAAGATGAGTTACACCATTTAGAAAGCACAACTAATATCCTTGGTGTACTCCACCAGGAGTTTATCAGAGATATGGATATGTTCAATAGAAAAGATAGACAGGAATTCTTTGAGATGAAGTGTTGTTCCCTCAAAACAAAAGACCTCGACAAACACTATCACAGGATGTCACAAAGGTTTTATCTCCTCAATGGGTATAACGATCCTAGTCTCAAGAATACCTATGTATCGTCTCTACCACATGAAATCCAGTAAGAAATCCATAGGATGGTAGCAACAACTAAAAAGGATATTTCAACAATGAGTCTTGTCCATATTCATCAGGCGACGTTGGAAGCACTTGAAAAGCTTTGCAGCTTTCATCATCAATTTCAAGAAGTTATACAGCAAAAGTCAAAGTTCACCAAGGCCTGCAAAAAACCTTATCTGGAGATTAAGTGTAAAGACAAAAGGTGCAGTTGTGAAACAAAAAAGAATCATCATCATCAAAAATACTCCAAATCTCATAGGACCTTTAAAGGAAAGAAAAAGAAGACTATGAAGTTCTTTAAAAGAAAATATTTCATAGGAAAGGGGAAAAATTGGAGATGCTTTATTTGTGGGAAAAAGGGGCACTTTTCTAAGGAATGTCCTAATAATACCCACAAAGCCGAAAAAGTGATCAACTCTCTTCAACCTCTAGATGGAGACCTAGAATCTTTGTATTCTGAACAAAGTTCTGCTGATGAAGAAACAATTTTTGCCCTTCAAGACTCTGCGTCTGATGAAGCATCATTTTCTGAATCAGAAGATGACAAATATTTCCCTGTTTACTCCTTCAAAGAGATAGGAAGTTCTCTTCCTACTCCACCACTCTCATGTATTGAAGCTCATGTACTCGCGACAAAGTTTTCTCATCCGAAGAAAGTTATAGCTTATATGGACGTTGGGGCCCAGATTACAATGATGAATCCTAGCATTCTCCCAGCAGAATCATGGGTAACACATGTTGCATACTTTGTAGCAGCAGATGGGAAAGTCTTCAGGACAGATTTAATGACCAAGGAAAAGATAGGAATCAAATTCTTCTCCGACTGCATAGTTTGGACCAAGGTCATTGGAAGCAATCTTCCAAATAAATATATTGTAGTAGGGATGGATGTATACTCAGCAGCCAATAACTCCAGATTCTTCCCACATGAATAAAATTCAAAAGAGAATTCAAACCTTATTCTGGGGTATTGAAGTTATATTCACTATCTAAAATCCCTGCTGGATATGAAGAAGTCAAGTCCAACCTACTCAAACTCTGTGCAAACAGCCATGAAACATTCTTCCATCCAAAACCTCTATGGAAGAATAAAGACTTTTTTGTTCAACTTCCTTTTAAGCTCAATGAAGATGTTAATCCAACCAAGGCCACTCATCCAGGAATGAGTCCATCATATTATACATTGGCCAGAGAAGAATGCAACTAGTTGCTCAAACAAGGTCTGATAGAACCCACCAAATAAGAATGGGCTTGCCAAGCATTTTATGTAGAAAAAAGATCTGAAAAGTTAAGAGGAAAAAAGAGGCTAGTAATTGATTATAAACCTCTAAACCATTTCCTCAAGGATGATAAATTTCCTATTCCAAAGGCCTCGTCCTTAAATGTTTTCATCAAGGATGCCCAGATCTATTCCAAGTTCGATCTTAAGTCGGGGTTTTTGCAATTGGGTATCGACCCCGAGGACCGTTACAAAACGGTGTTCTGCATTCCTAACGCCCAATACCAATGGACTGTGTTACCATTTGGGCTTAAGGTAGTTCCATCACTTTTTCAAAAGGCCATGACTAGAATTTTCGAGCCCATTCTCAATAGTATCCTCATCTATATTGATGATGTGCTATTATTCTCAAAAGATGAAAAATCCCATAAATAACTATTGGGACAATTCCTTCAAATAGCCCAATGACATGGAATGATGCTCTCTGAAAAGAAAAGCCAGTTGGGCCAAACAGAAATTGACTTTCTAGGAATGCATTTTTCCCAAGGGAAGTATCAACCTCAACCTCATATTTCTCAAGAATTGTTAAACTTTCCCGATGAAAATCTCACTATTAAGCAGATTCAACAATTTCTTGGTATAATTAATTATATCAGAGATTTCTTGCCAAAACTGGCAAGATACACGAGTCCTCTATCTCAAATGCTGAAGAAAAACCCCCCACCATGGGGAACAAAGCAAACTGAAGCAGTAAGAGCCTTGAAAAAGATCACACAAACCCCACCTGCCTTAAAGATCCCGGGAGACGGTAAAAGAATCTTACAGACGGATGCCAGTGATCATTACTGGGGAGCCGTCTTCATAGAAGAAATTGATGGAATAAAGTATTACTGTGGTCATGCTAGTGGTCAGTTCAAAGAAGCTGAAAAACATTACCATACCACTTATAAGGAAGCTCTTGCAGTTAAGACGGGTATCCAAAATTTTGACTTTCACCTGAGAGGTCATCAGTTTGAAGTCCAGATGGATAATTCCTCTTTCCCTAAGATCCGCGAATTCAAAAATAAGATGCCTCCTGATCCTCAAACTCTTAGGCTCAAAGATTGGTTTTCTAGATATGATTTTATTGTGAAACATATCAAAGGAACTCAAAATGTGATTCTTGATTTACTTTCTAGGCCTATGAAACCCATCCAGATCATTAATACCAAGCACGTTTTTCCTTTGATTCTCATGGTCAAACCATTTCCAACCCGTGCCTCCAAGACCAAAGATTTTCCTCCAGGAGTAACTGTATCCTCTTCACCCTCACAGCTTAAGCAGTATGCCAGGAATAATCTTTTTTATTATATGACAAAAATCATAAGGAATAAACTCCCTGACCATACTCCTTATTTCCCAGACACACCATTTCTCCTACCAATTTTAATAAGCCCTAATGCTAAATTCACAAAAAACCATTTATGGTATATCTGGTGCACCACTGCTTTATATTTTATGCCTGTCCTCATACCCACCGAAGCCATGTATGAACACATAATGGATCCGAAGAACCACAAATTCTTGAATTGGACTACTCTTGAATGGTACTCTCCGCTAACATGGTGGAGAGATCAATTAAAACCAATCCTAGACGAGGTCAAAGAAGGGGGGTTAACCTTAGAGGCTATTAGCAAATTCAAGATTGTTTTCTTCATGAACATGCCCTATCAAACAGATCTTTCCACTAAGTTACTTGGTTGTAAGAATTATGTTCATATATGGGAAACCATTGATGATTATCCTCCAAATCTAAAAGTCACAAGAGAATTAATGGAATATGTTAACTTCATCAACCTCCATGAACCAGACAAGATGAATGCTAACTCCACTTGTATAAGTCATCAAGCTCAGTATAAAAATCGAGAGGTTGGAGAAAGTTCAGTTCAAGCCACACAACAAAAAGCAGATTCCCCAATGGAAGTTGAATTCTCAGAAGGACACGTGGAAGAAGTTCATAGAAAAATATCAGATCATGCTTACATGATGGATGACGTGTGGGAAAAAGAGACATCTCAATACAGAGACTGCTTTTCAGAAGAATACTTATCCGATTAGAATATGTCTCCAAGTCACGAACCTATCTTTAAAGACTAATTGGACACGTGTCTCTTATTAATCACAAGCATGTTTATAAATAGTTAAGTTTCATCCTTTTGTGTAATAGTACTACAATAATTTATCCATAAGGGATAAGGGTGTCAGACTTTTGAAAGAAGGCATTAATGATGCCATGTTTGTAAATAGTGTGGTTTTGTATTTTGTGAATCTCCTTGGCTATAAAAGGAGACCTCTTGTAATATTTCAAGGCAGAAGCAATAAGAATAAAAACCATCTTGTGTGCTTAAGAACAAAATGTTCTAACTCTCTTTTCTTTCTCCCTAAAAGCTTTAGTTATTGTATTCATGTCATAATCCCCCATACAGATGCAAGTATGCTCTACACTTGCCTCAACACGAGGATCTTGTGTATCAGAAAACATCTGACCATCAATCCATACTACGGTCCTCACTATTATGGAATGTCAGTTTTAATTGTTAGTCTATGTTATGCCTATGGTTGGCTATTTGATGACGATATAGTTAAGGTTGGTTTCATAGTATGTGAGGCTCCCGGCCAGTGTGGTATCAGAGCCTCAACAGAAAAAAGGGGTGCGTATGGCATGAATATAATAAATAGAGTAAGTAAGGGAGAAAAATATTTAACCATGGCGCTATCACAACAATAATAATTATTTATATTAATAATAATTATATCCTATTGATGTATTATTATTGATATAAATTTAGAATAAGTAAAATTTATTAATAATTATGATATGTATTATATTAATAATAATTATATCTTATCGGTATAATATTATTAGTGTAATTTTGTTATGATACAAAATATTGTTGGCACTTTATGCTTAATTTATCATGTTCAAAAATATTCTATCGATATTAAAATTTTGATAATATATAAGTTTATATTAATTATTGTATTTATGATGTAAGATCATAATGAGCTAGAGTTTTATTAGGGAAACGCTTGACTGATATATGTGAAATCATTTCTTTATAATTGTTCACTTAATGATTCCTTATTCTTTTGTAACAAATTTTTTCCTAACTCTGTCAAAACGCTCAATGGGAGAAATTATGAGGACTGAAAAGAGTCTCTCAACCTTTATTTGGCCATAGCCAATCTTGATTTGGCTCTAAGAACTGAAAAGCCCGGTGCTATTATTGATGAGTCTACTGAAGCTCGGAGGACTCTTTATGACAAATGGGAACACTCTAATAGAGTGTGCCTTAGGTGATATCTTACACTATGGAAAAGTCCATCAGACAAAGCATACCAGAAAGTGAGAGTGCTAAAGATTATCGGAAATCAGTTGGTGAGAAGTTCACTCGTTTTGATAAGGCTAAGAAGTGTGAGTATCCCTCTCTGTTTGATAAAACTAAGTATGATGGTGTTAGCGGTGTGCGTGAGCATATTATGAAGTTGATCCACTATTATAATAAGCTGAAAACTCTCAAAGTTGAAATTGGTGAGAGTAATCTAATATGGAGGGTTCTTGAGTCTCTGCCTCCTCAATTTAATGTTATGAGGACTTCCTATAATACCCAGAAAGTTGAATGGACTATGGATGAGATGATAGTTATAGTAACTCAATAAGAAGATTCTATGAAAAGGAAAAAGAACAAAGTATTTAGTTTGTCGCTTCTACCTCAGGAACAAAGGATTTCAAGAAAAGTTATCGTA